TGAAGGTCTCAATGCATATGATTAAGAAACAAAAACGATAAATAAAAGATAAAATAGGTGAATAAAATACAAGCGTGGTGCGCTTGAACTGTCAGATAAAAAGTTTTGTTTTGATGGAGTCAGATTGAGTGTTGCTTTTCTTTCTTTGATGAAGAGCATTTCATAAATTAAACAATCCAGTTTCCGACGGCATTTCTTGGGGATTGTAAATTGGTCACGAAGATCTTTTTTCCTTAGATTGTGTACGTCCCGTAGGTGTTTACCAAGGACAGAATGCTTGTGCTCATTAAAGCGCTGAAATAGGTGTCTGCGTCGCACAGATCACATTTGTATTCATAAACAACGCATTGTTCGTTAACAAGAAAAAGGTGGTTTGGGTTCCGTCACTCTGATCTCGTCAGCAATTTTCTTGCTCGTAAACACTGGGCAGAAATCGCTGTTAACTTTCTTCGCGAGATCGGAGAGCTGTCCTCGTACTAAGTCTGCTGACCGTTGATTTTTACAATACAATACAATACAATGTATTTTTAAATCGTATAATAATCCTAACGGGCTTATTAACATCAACCGACTGTTTTCGGTCTTGAGACTCGATGAATCTGGCGATTGCACAGTTTTAAAAATGAGTCTCTCAGGGTACTTAAGCTAGAGAAAGATCGCTTTCTGGTTGTCACATTCGGCATGTGACAGCTATTTTTATCTTTTATTCCTCGTTTTTATTTCTTAATCATATGCACTGAGACCTTCACCCGTACTTTTTCTATATAATGAACTCACAAAATGTATTTATTTCAGTGTTTATTTGAATTTGAGAATGATGGCATGGAGCCGTCGAAACGTCATTCCTTAATAGAGTTGCCTGACTCTTACAAAAATTTCCCTGAGAAGCATTATTTGATCGTGGAAGAGTAACAGTTTAATTTTCCCCATTCTGGATTTGTCTTTCCGGGCGGCTGTTAAACCAATCTGTGGTCCCACCAATAGACTTAGAATACTTAGTTTTGACTGGGCGGTTGAGTTTCATACATGCACACGATTTCTTTGATGGAATCGAATACACAGTTTACCGGTGATTATTTATTTTCTTTTGAAGGAGAAAAAGTCGGCCAAAATTGCTGAAATTTCTAAAAATTCTAAAACTCGTCACCTTGTATCGGTTTCCTCAAGTGTAACGCAGGTACGATATCTATTTTTTTTTTTCGTGCGAAGAAAAGCTGCAAAAGTGGCTTGACCACCGTGGATCTTGCACTAAGATTTCTGTCGTTACCTTGCCCCCTTGTATTTCTTCTTCTCTGAACAAGTCTAAAAATAAAAACGAAGTCCCACACTCGCTTAGGAACAAAGGTAACATCCTTACTTCGGATATACACAGGCCTCCCAATCGTGGAATTGGAGTTTAACGTGGTGAAACGAACTATCGAGTATGACCGTTGTAGTGCGAGCAGCGAACGAAAAGTCAAAAGTAATGCAAATTGAAACTTTCGTTTCAGATGATTTAATTACGATTTCATCGCCCTTTCCTTTCCACAAACCCAACGCTCTCTGCGCAACGACTGAAGGCAGGAAAGCACTAATTCAGAGTCTCTTACGAGTAGGCCAATAAATTATCCAAAAATTAACCTATTTTCTTGAAATCCCCGCGAATGTCTATGAATATTTACAATGGCTATGACATAGTATTGCTTTCAAGTTCCATTTCACCAAATTGTCTCAATTTTCCGGAGCAGCTTAAGAATGGCTTTATTCTCGACGTAATTTCGCTTTGTGACTTTCTTAGTAATCGCGTGTAACTTTGTACGTCTACAAATTTTGAAAATATTAATTTGTTATCCCAAACTCCATGATGGAGAGGCTCTCAGCACAAAAGCAGATCACCGAGCTAACTTATAGTGAATTAATGAAACTTCATTCATTGACAGGCCAAGGTGGTTACGCGACATGCACAGAAGCATTTTTGTTCAGCATTGTCAACCCGCGTGGCCTAGAACCCACCAAAATGCCACTCAAGCAACAAGATCAGCAATACGCCATCTACTGTAAGAGTGACTTTGGACCAACGTTTGGGGGAGGGAGGGATGGGCATGACCTATACATCTCGGACAATGCAAACATATCCGCCTCAAGTTCAGTTTGTCTCGGCGACACTTATGATACTTGTGATATTTACAATGGCTATGATTTTAATGATTCCGACAAAACTACCGTAAGGGATGATTACTTCTTTACTGGGAAAACGCTTTTCAACGTGACAAATTACGAAGTGCTTCAGCTCTTCAACTGAGATGTAATTCGTGACAGAGGCAGTTCATAAATAATGAATGACAGTCGGTAACCTGGAAAAAAATTATGTAACTTTCAGAAACTGACTATGATTAACAAACGAATAAGGCAAAAACAGGAAAAATACAAGTAGAAAAAGAAAAAAAAAAGAAAGAAATTGATTGAAATGTTATGTAAACTGAGAGAAGGAGTCAATCATTCCTTGAAAATCGAAACAATGGCTGTCACAAACGTAATAATTGTCTATGTTAAGTTCGTTAGAGTGTGATCGAACAGAAGTTTCAGGCCCGGAGTAACACGTAAATTGGTGAGTCATTAAAGGTACTGTTCGTGTGTTTAATCTATTCGCTTTATGTAACAAAATCTTGATTGACGGCGACAAAACAGGAAAAACCCGTGTACCCGTGATAGTTTTCAAGGCCTTATTGCCCCATTGGCAGACAATAGTTGGGTGTCCTGTGCGGCAATCCGGTTTATGGTTAGCCTGTTCCAGGCGTACAGTTACCTCGTTCCCAATGCCTTTCCCTCAGTTGGGGACGGGAAAAGGGCCTGGGAAAGAGGTTGATACAGTCAATAAAACGGGGCTATACTTTTGGTAATCACGCATTTCCATAACGGTTTTTTTTTCAAAGATTTCTTTTCTTCGAGGAAGTTCGAAGTTAGCTTTTGTGTTTGCATCTTAGAATATGCTGCTATATCGTACCCAGTGATGCTATATATCATAAGCAATTAACGGGTGTGCCTAAATCCCACTGGCTAAAAGGACAACTAGGACTACAAGAATCGAGTTTCTGAGTCGTGCAGTTTTCGGAAATTGTCGGCTATTCTGATGCGGCGGTCTTTGCAGTTTATTTGTTGGTTGAACACGGAGGCAGGTAATTCAATTTTAAAAAACGTCATCAAAGCGGCGTGTAAGGGCCTGCATGCACTTACTACCACACCAAATCCTTAGAATAATTGTTTTTTTGGATTCTACAATTTTTAAGCTTTACGTTGATATTTACTCTTCAAGGGTTTCACCAAAAGCAATGTGCGCACGCATGATTTTTTTCGGAAGACACTCCTAAAGGTCCTGAAGGTCTACAATATTAAGCTAGGCTCATGTATGATATGTGCATGCACTCTTGATAAAATTATGAGCTTGTGCAATTCCGATTATCGACCTTAGTCTGTCGCTTGCGATTCCTTCATTTGCCGTTACAAATGTTCGTCCATCTTATATCTTCAACCGTGCGGTACCCTTGCACCTCGGGGTGCGTGGAAGCATTTTTTCGCTTAAATAATTGATCGACATACGCGAAGGAAGATGTCCGTAAAATATGTGACAAAAAGTACATTGCAATAAGTATTTTCTAACCCAGCTGGTAGAAAACGTACGGAGATAAAATGTATGTAGAATTTATTTATTGATTACACAACCACATATACCTGCAAACAAACATGCAAGGTTTACAAAATTTATCATTGAAGAAAAAACTAGTTATAATCTAAATGAAGCTAAAAAGACATCTTAAAAGTTCGCTTAAAACGTTCCGTACGAATACGAGGTAAAATGTAGTAATGGCCGCGAGAACGGAGCGACCTTTCCCTCTGCTTGGGAAGTAGGTCATGTAGGCAGTGATCGCTGTCTTTCTACAAGCACGTCTGTAGAAATCCATCAACATTTTGTGGCCAGCACGGAATATCTGCAACAAACATTTTTATTACTTTCATTTGCTTTTGTTTTCAAAGCCTCGCTCTCAAGCTGAGTACATCGAAACTAGCCAGCTAAGCTATTTTCGATTTCCCAAGCTGAGGTGTCAACACGTAAACATGCTGATGTCACTACAAAGTTTCTTGAAGACGTTTTGCAACCTAAGCATTGTATGCGCCATCTTAAGAAATATCTTACTGTTTGTAAATTGGTTAGTATTATATGATTATGACACTCCAATAACCGTTTATCAGCACTTACCGAGAAACTCAAGCTTTTGTGATTGTATACTTGGTAATTTGAAGAAGTTACGCTGAGTCGAAACATAACTCGCATATATTTACCGAACAATACTTGGTAATTATCAGTTTCGATCTAAATGCTTGCGTCAGTCCTTTTCACTTTGAGATAAAAATTCTGAAAGGCGTCAGAATTTCGGATAACTTTGTTCAGATAAATTTGTCTTTCGAAGATATATATAGAACGGTATGTAACATAGTGTTTGAGTGTAAAAATGGTACGACTAAAAACATTCCTGAACGCAACTGTTTTGCTGATAACTGTTGGGCAAGTCATGAATATGTAAACGTGCTTTGTTTACAATCGGATTTAAGAGTTAGCTTTATTTAACTATCTTGCATACTTTTCCTCAGATTCTTTCCTCGGATGAAGTTTAAACCTTCAATAAGCTTAAACCTTTAATTATTGTATCATTTTCCAGCTGGTAACATGCACGTAGAGACGCGTTAAATCAACTAATCACCGTCAGGGTCCAAATTAAATTAGCGGTAACGAACAAAAAGATTTTTCCCACTCACGCCGTGACTGTGCCAAGAATTGTCAAACTTTAAATGGACACAAGTTCGTCTCTAGATATCATAATGGTAATATTCCTTTAAATGTGCACTTTAGGCAAATTTCTGAGTTCATAGAGCAAGTAGCTTTTTTGGGATTCCAGAGCAAATAGCTTTTTGGGGATTCCCCTATCGTATGAGTGATACACATGACTAGCTTCATAACATTAGCTTATTTCAGTATAATCACGAAACTTGCTTTCATCAGCTTATCGTCGCATTCGAATAGGAGAAGATCAACGACACAGCCAAGTATTTTAACTGAGGTGGAGAATCGCTTAAAATATCTCGCGAAATCTGGTGAAAATTCAATTGAAATGTGATTAACGTTAAGAGGCAACATGGAAAGCGCTCAGCACGTTTCCTCGATTATCAAACTCAATGTCGGCGGTCATTACTTCGACACACGTCTACAAACACTGACCAAAGATCCAAACTCAAAGCTGGTGGCCATGATTTCTGAGAGGTATGAAGAGAAACTAGGCAAAGACGGCGCCTTTTTCATCGACCGTGATGGAACTCACTTCCGTCTTATACTCAATTTCCTGCGCACAGAGAAATTAACTTTGCCAACAGAAGCAACTTTTCTCGAAGAACTCAATGAAGACGCTGAGTTTTACCAGATCCAAGGGCTGGTGGATAAAATAAATAAGTCAGCGAGGGACGTCGTTAAACTCAATGTCGGTGGTCATTATTTTACAACAAGTCTCCCAACGCTAACCAAAGATCCAAACTCGATGTTGGGCAAAATGTTTTCTGGGAAATACATCGCGAGAGCCGGCGGGGACGGGGCTGTTTTTATCGACCGAGATGGAACTCACTTCCGGTTTATACTCAATTTTCTGCGCACTGGGAAGCTAACTTTGCCAGATGGAGCAACAGCTCTCGTTGAATTCAAAGAAGAGGCTGACTTTTACCAAATTCAGGGGATTTTGGATGAGTTAGATGACACCAGACTGAGGTCGGAGATTCTTACAGACGAAGAACAACAAAACCTGTTGTTAAGCTGGTTACCTCCTCACGGTGACGTAAGAAGACGTCGCCTCCGTCTTTTGTTCCGTGCTTCTCGAGACGGCTTCGCGGCAGCCACCTTTCACGATAGATGTGATAACAAAGGACCCACAATCGTTCTTGTACAGAGCGGAAACCATATTTTTGGAGGTTTCACGGAGAAATCTTGGATATACAGTAAGACGTATATTGCATATATTCAGCAGAAAATAAGTAATTTCAGCTACACTACTCAACAGACACTAATATAGTGAACCATTAGGTTTATTTTGCATGTCTCGGTCGAGCACCAGCGTACAATAATGAAGAAACACATATAGAAAACCGTTGCATCCTCGGTAATCGTTACCAAAGCACACGAGAAAAAGACATACCGCGAGCTTAGCAACCACTAGCAAACATCGTGGTTAGAACGGCGGCCAGAAAAAACCTGCCATAAAAAACCCCGTAGGGAAAAAGAGACAGGAAATCTGGGTAGGAACCAGGCCCAAGCTCACGTAACCTTCCTTCTAGGCTATATGCATACTTACAAAAAAAAAATAAATGAATAAACTTAGCAATAGCTGAGAAGGTGTCGGCCTAGAATGATTGCCCACGTGCAATCACAAGCTTTAATACTCGTATCACTATACCCATAATGCATCGATGCTCAAGGGCCCATGCCCTTGTCCTGTTGCTCTCGTGCCGCAGAAATATTTAATTTCCGGCTTATTCGTTGGCACTCAAACGCCAGAAATTCCATTAGTACAATGGAATCACCTCCGACATAATTACAACCACTAAGTGTTAGGTAACTCAGATAAAAGAAAATCACAATAATTCCGAGGGTAACAAGAATGTTTAAGGTTGCAGAAGATTAACACACATAGCAAATAATTAGGCTGACAACTTCATCTGGATTTTTCAATAATCTTTCCATGAAACTGAGAGATAAATATTCAAATCGCTGCGACAGTCTGAAATCTGTCTGTTTAAAAATTCAAGAATTGTTTTAAAGAGCAAGACTTGAACTTCTTATTTCTTTAATCTGCATCAAATATTTCGCACTTTTTTCGGTCAAAACTAAATCAGGAAACTTGATTTCTTCCTGATTTTACGGAGCTATTATAGCCGTTTTCCTTTAGAAAAGTAGATTTTTCGGAACCTTTCACGGATCGAATAACTTGCATTTCTGGGATAACTTAACTCGAACCTTGATTGATTTCCCTCGACGGTTCGTGTTGTTGAATTAGTGCGATCTCAAAATTCAACATATTTTACTCATCCTGCGTCATTATTTCATCAACAGGCCGGGGAGGGTACACCGCATGCAAACAAGCGTTCCTGTTCAGTTTGGCCGACCCGAATGGCCTGGAACCAACTAAACTACCACTCAAGAGTAACAACCAGATGTATGCCATTCTCTACAGTAGCAACAATGGGCCAACATTTGGCAGCGGTTGCGACCTTCGCATTGCAGACAATGCAAACATGTGTGCTTCAAGTTCCAGTTGTCTCGGCCATGTATACGAGATTCCTTCAGCGTGGAATAATTCATCATCCTTAGCGGGAGAAGGACACTTCGTGGTAACCAACTACGAAGTATTTGGATTCCAACCCTGACTCCAAACGGGTGGAAGTGGAGATTTTGGACTCCAAACGGGTAGAATTGGAGATTTTGGACTCCAAACGGGTGGGAGTGGGGATTTTGGACCAAGCAAGAATGTTCTCGTACACCTATTTAACATTAAAACATATTCTCAGTGGAATTAACTCTCTAACTCCTAGGAGTGATTGACATGCAAATTCTCCTCGCAGGTTGCGAAACATTTTCCAGAAAAAAAAGTCCATGACAATGACAAACTTACCAGCTGGAGAGTTCTATGATATCACATCAAATTCTCTCAAAAAGGTAATGTTACTAAGGAAATGTATGGCGGTTAGTAAGGGTAATTTGAGAATTATCAGAGATCGAGAGTTAAAGGTTGAAGCAATTTTTTATAAAGGAAATTTATTTAACCGTCACTAGATAATCTGTTTAAGTGAATTCATCAGCGGAGTTTTTCCAGCCCAAGATAAGAAACCTTAGAAAGGTTTTTGATGTAAATTTCCCTTAGATGTAAATGTTTACTTGATAATTCGTAGAAGTGAACTCATGACGGAATTTCTCGAGTCTTAGAGACCGAGTCGTTCGAAGTCATTTCCACTCAGTTGTAATTACTTAAGTTGCTTTTTGTAACTGCAGAGTCAGCACATCGATGAATAAAAATATCAGTACAGGAGACATTATCCTCTCTTAATCATAAGACATAAAGTCAAGTCTTTTGTCCCTCAGAATGTGGTCACTTCATGTCCTTTTCAACTGAATACTTTTAGAGTCTGCTAGTCTGCTTTAGGTGATGAGGTCGAATGTTGCTTTCATTGTGCCTTATTACCATGAACAGCCATAATCTTAATTTCAGTATGATTTTTTACCTACATTTTGAGCTATACCCTGAATCAAATTCTGGTGAGCGAAAGATACTTTTGCTGTCCAAAGCGTTTCTCTCTTTACTAAAATTTAGATACTTTGTCTAGACAACACTTACTTTTACAAGTATCAAGCGACGATAACAAGAGAGAAGTGCTTTTATAACGTACGCATGGTATACTCTAAATAATTTGAGTGGCTGAGAAGAGCAAACTGCTGCAAATCCCAAATTTACAAAGAGCTAACAGCTCCGTTCCCCCCTCCCCCCCCTGTTGTAAAGCTTACGAGGTTATCATAACCCATATGGCCATGCACCAGCTAAAATGTTCTTATATCCTAAACGTGTAGTCCCAATAAATGTGAATCAGTATGGCATTACATCTGGATGTTGCAGCGGATCAGTGTTTGGTTTGACAAAACGCAAATGAGTCTTTTAGCCATGACGTGACGGCTTCTAGTTGTAAAGACCTCGGCTCGACATATCAGTGCCCCAAAGGACAAAAGGGAACGTTCTTCACAGGGTACAAAGAATTAATTCATGGTATCAAATTATCAGGGAGAAAGTTAGCGTGAAACATTACATCTGGAAATTTTAATACACTCGGTTCGATAACGAACTGCTTCTCTGAAAATGAATAATGCCTGGACTCGAGATAGAGGGCAAAAGCAAGCCTAAGAAATATCTCGCTTTTCAAAAAGTAATCAATGTTTTTTAGCTAGAGTTTTGGTTTTATCACTGAATTGAGTTGATAATGTAAACTAGCCACCGTTAAGAGTTTGTATCACTGACTTTTAATTGGAACGTTAGTCCTTCGTTAGCCCTTCGTCAAAGCGAATGGCGAAAGGCTTATCTTTTGACATTATCGCTCGTTTTGGCGCATTTTCGATGAGGACATACAAGAAAGAACATCCTGAAAAATTCTGTAGATAAACCTTGATCAGTATTTATTTAAATTTTCCTTTTCTTTGTCCAATTATATCGTTGGACTCGCTTGAATCATGGCTGTTTTTGTTCCCGTTCTTTGCCCCTCACGACAACGGCACATTCATTAGCTACACTTTCGCTCTTTGCAAAAAGCTGATGACCGTTTCCAAGACTGAAACAATGTAGGCGCCCCCATCCCAACCCAGAATTACCTCAGTAAGGTCCTGATTCCATAAGCCGAGCTGGCCCGGTTAGCCGGGCCGATTTCTTTTGCTTTCACGCTTTGGCGAACACTAAAACAAAAGAAATCACGGG